CTGTAGTTCCATCCCCCAGTTTGAGGTCGTCCAGCGTTTTCTTCACGTCAGCCATCACGTAATCAACCCGATTGTTTACTTGGTCGATTTGGGTTTTAGCTTCCTTGATTTGGGTTTCAGCTTCCGACAGGCGGTTGTCATGTTGAGCAACCCTATCCTTCACCTCCCTAATCTCTTTCCCGAAGTTAGCGTGAATGTCCTTCACGAGGAGCATCTGCTCTTCCTGTCGGCGGGCCTGTTCCTCCTGCTGCTCTTTCAACCAACAGGCCTGTTCCTCCTGTCGATGGGCCTGTTCCTCCTGTCGGCGAGCCTGTTCCTGCAGCATCACCATCAGAGCACCTAAATCGGGTGCTGCAGATGTAGGAGCTACTGACGGGCCTGCAGCCGGCGGCTGGCCCTCCAACGTCTGCGGCGTTGCACCACCAAATCTTCTTTGGTCCGTCTCCTGCTGGCGTTGATTTCGGGTACGGACACCCTCCGTTTCCTCCTTAGGTAAAATCGGCATGATTTTATCCCACTTCTGACACCAATTGTTACGAGCTTGAGGTTCGTGACAATAAAAATTGCCGATAAAATTACCTAAATTAACACTTTAATTTACTTTACACAAATTAAAACTAAAAACACTAATAATTAAACACACTAATTCACTTAATTCCGCTCCGAAGCTTCGCTTGCGTCGCCGAGTTCAACTCTGCCCCGATCGCATCTTGCAGCGCCTATTTATATAATTAGCAAAGAAGCATCCCGAACATTCAAGTAAATGCGCGCCAGGCAACGAGTATTCGAGTGTAGATTTTCCAGAAACTTAGTTCTTCGGGTGGCGCTGTCGGTCGAAAGATTTGTGATGTCATTTACTACAAAGCTCCCCTCGCTCTCGTTCCTGACACTAGATGGCGCTAGTTGACTTATTCATGCAACAATATTTTAATGTTATTAACTACCTAAGATAATAAAATTGCATTTGTTTAATGACTACAGATATATCCGAATTTACTGTAACCCGAACTTTGAGACAAGAAAGAGAGGCCAGTTCTGTTTCAAATATGGGTGGGCCTGGTCCATCAAAAGTAACACCTGGAAAAAAAACGATCAAATCGCGATACAAAGATCAAAATCGATAATACTGATGCTGTGCAATACGACAAAAATTATGTCATTTTACGCTGTACGAAAAAAAATTGCTACGTTAAACAATTCACTTGTCAAATTGCGTGATGAAATAAATTTTGAAGATGGATGTACCACATTATGGAATATATTAAAACGACTCGGATATAAATACAAAAAGTGTCAATCAAAACAAAAAATGTTGGTGGAACGAATAGATATAGTTGCCTGGCGATTTAATTACTTGAATGAAATTTAGAAAAACACCTAGAAGAGGGGCGGACTATTGTCTACTTAGATGAAACATTTATTCAATGTGCATATGGGGTACAAAAATGTTGGCAGTCAGATTCTGAAGAAGGTGTATTGATGAGAGATTCAGGTACGGGTAGGCTATGGATAATTGCACACGCTGGAACTACAGACGGCTTCATTAATAATGTGTTACCGCTATTCAAGTCACAAACAAAATCATCCGACTAACATGACGACATGAATAGCGATAAATTTATAAATTAGCTGGAAAAACAAGTTTTGCCAAACCTGCCACCTAATTGTGTGAGTGTGATGACAGTGCACCATATGATAAAGTACAAATAAATAAAAGCCCTAATATGGCAAGCCTCAAAATAAATATGGTAGAGTGGCTTTAAAACAAGGGACTGTTGTTTTCACCAAAAATAAAATAATAAATGAAGTAAGTAATCGCTTTTTATTGTGGTTTGGCATTGCTAGCCTCCATGGACAATGACAAAAGTGATAGTGACAGTGAGTGTTCAAGTAATATTGAAGAAGTTATTATCCCTTTACACCTTATTGATCATAATTATATAAAATGATTCTTTTTAACCCTCTCTTAATAAATTTATCCCGAATGTTCCTATTGATATATGAATTATTTCAGAGAATACATTGTCATTTGACATTGTCTTACATCTGGCTATCTATTGCGGACGGAAGAGTTTTACAAGCAAGTAGATGGTGTTGCGATGGGCTCACCTGTATCTCCCATTGTCGCCGATATATTCATGGAAGACTTTGAGGAGAAAGCCCTCCTTACTGCACCTGTTACACCAAGGATCTACAAGCGGTACGTAGACGATATTTTCACAATTTTACCATCAGACAAAGTAACTGCATTTTTAGAACATCTTAATTCCATAAACTCTAAAATTCAATTTACTATGGAGTTAGAGGCAAATAATTCCTTACCTTTCCTCAGTGGCGGGGCAAGACCTAAATTATATGTGGGCAAGATACATTTTGCGTGGCCCTCGCTAGCGCAAGAAGACGGAATATACAAAATTAAAAACAAAACACTTCACATTATGAAAATTTTATGCATACAAAATCATTAAGTACCAACACTAAACAATTTCAAAGAAAAATGAAAAAACAGATATTCTGCTTTTTAACCTGCTGAATTGTTTAATTATAGCCTCATAATATAGCTTGGATGCTATATCTGCCTCGATAGATAAAACTTTCAATCCAGAAAATCTATTCTGTGACATTGCATTCCTGAGATAATTTTTAATGAGTTTTAATTTTAAGAAGCTTCCATTAGCGGAGGCTGTACTGATCGGTATTATTAAATGACGATTTAAATGTTTGGGTATATTTTTTTAAGTTATTTTCTGTAACGTATTGGAGAGGCTGTTTCTCATCTGTTACGAAATTAGGTAAATTAGGGATCATTAATTGCAATTCTTCATATAATTCGTAAGGTTGAAAGTCACTGCTTTCAACCACTCGCAGGGCTGTGTGTAAATCTTGACAGGTATTTTAATATTCGATAGTTTGGAATATTTTTTAACTTGTTTAAATCATAAAGAAAGCCAAAATTTTCTTATTGTTGGTTTAAAGCCATAAATCTCGAATCAATATTTGTTATAATTGAACAAGCATGGTGTTGAAAAAGTCTGTTTAATACCGACTTTTAGGAGACTGTAAAGGTTAATCCTTGCCTTCATAATCTATCATCTTTTTCTTTTTGGCTACTCTTTTATTTTTAAAGTCTTTTGGCAGATCGTAACATTTTTTTTTCAATAAACTGTTAAATACCAGACAAGCATTTTTCGAAACAAGTTTGTCGATATTCTTTTCTTTTTCTTCACCTATAGTGACAACCCTACAAAAATAGGTAACAATTTTGCATGTTCTTAAAAGCTTTGTGTCTGTTCCGTTTATCTACTCATGTGCGTACAGCGCGAAAATATACATACAGCAACCACGTGGGCTGCTGTACCGCACTCTTTATTAGATTGCTACGCGCCCACGATTAAATAAAGTCAGTACACTATGTCTAACAAACAGAACGGGGAATCCTCAGCTTTTGTCGCCCCTATAGATTATTGTATATGTACTGGTCGCCCCGCAGCGGGGATTCCCCGCAATAGCAATGCAAACTAATGTTACTAGACTGAATAAAAACATATTTAGTTGTGTCAATAATATTGATTCAGGACAATGAAATTTTTTCGCGTTTTTTTTTTATAGAAGAGGGGCAAACGAGCATGCGGCTCACCTGATGTTAAGTTACTACCGCCGCCCATGATCAACCGCAACACCAGGGGAATGGCAGGTGTGTTGCCGGCCTTTTAGAAAGGAGTAAGCTCTTTTCTTGAAGGTCCCCAGGTCGTACCGGTCCGGAAAAATCGCCAGTGATAAACTATTCAACAGAGAGGTCGTACGCGGAAAATAACTCCTTGTGAAACGTACAGTGGTGGACCACCAAGCATATGGTGTGAATGGTATAGGGACGTTTGCCGCGAAGTGCGTTCATGAAATTTGGCGGCCGGGATTAATCCGAACAATTTCTCAGAGCACTCACCGTGGTATACGCGAAAGAAAATGCTAAGAGAAATGCGTTTACGGTTTTAAGTGCATAAACCTCCAGGGCGCGAGGCCCCTGGTGAGGCCGTAGGCGGTGGCCCACGTCGCCCACGCCTTACGCCGCCTCTGCCTTTCCTGGATGTGTTAGTCATCCGAAATCCTAACAACACCATTGGTCACACTGTGTATAGGAAAAAGACCCATACAAACCGATATTTAAACGGTGAGTCTCACCACCAGCCTACCCCGGGGTATCGTAGGATCCCGCGCCTACGTCACTGTGACCGAGTGAAGCCGGCCACAGTCGAGCGTGTGCCGGCTGTACTACCATATGTCAGAGGTGTCACAGACAAGATTTGCTACATCTTGAAGCGAGCTTCTATTAGAACATTCTACAAGCCGCTGAAGAAGATTAGTCAGTTCCTACCATCCGTCAAGTGTCATATTCCTCTACAAGATGCAGGAGTGTACAAGCTTGATTGTGAATGTGGTCTCTCTTATATAGGACAAACAAAAAGATCAATTAGAACCCGCGTAAAAGAACATATAGCTGATGTGAAGCATCAACGTTCCGGGAAGTCTGCAGTTTGCGATCGTATCCTAGACGGCCCCAACCATTACATCAGATTTGATAGACCACAAATCCTCGCGAAAGAACACCGATTCCTACCAAGGATGATACGTGAGGCTATTGAAATTTAAAAAAACATCCTAATTTCAATAGAGAAGGAGGCTGGGTACTACCACCTGCTTGGGGTCCTATAATCAATAAAATTAAAACTAAACCCAAGCATACCACTGCAAGACCTCAGGACATAATAACAATAATAACAAGGCGTAGGGAAGTGACGACCCCATCGCCCGCTGACGAAACAGTTAAGTGACAAAACTCCTACGTCGGCGCAGTCAGTCAGCGCCTTGCCAAGAGGTGTGAGCGCCGTGCCTCGGCAGTAGTCAGGGTTCAAAGGCCCGTTTGTGCTTACGGCCGTACAATGATACAATGAAACGGTGCCGGGCCTGGGCATCTCCCGTTAATTGGCGCCCAAAAATGGATGATGGATTTGATTAGAAAGCGTATAGGGCCGCTGCCTGGGGGTCGCCGGGGCGTGTCTGGAGCTGGCGCTGGACGCGGCAGCATGCGGGCTGCCAGCCGAGCGCGAGGAGCTGCAAGATCAGCTAGCAGCCCCACGCATCCATCATCCCCACCAGACGGCTTGATGTCGGCAGGATCCTCTCGGACTCGGCAAGCGGCATCCGCCACTGGTGGAGTGCGTCGCATCCGTTGGACAAGGGATATGAACGCAAACGCATTGCGGGCGTACTATGGGGCGAAAGGGGAAGAAACTGCAGGGATAGCGTATCGGGCTCGGATGCATTGCTTTTTTGCTGAGCACGAGCCGTCTATTCCCGTCACGGAAATAAACCTGGCAGACCGAGTTCGGTACATCATGCGCTCGAAAATATTTGATGATGCCGAGCTCGAACGACTACGACGTGAGGCCATTCCCTCATCGAATGAATTGGCTACGGCTGAGGATGCGGCTCCTCAGGCGACAGACCAGCTGCCACGCGTAGAAGCTGCCATGGATCTTCCAGTTGTGGTTGATTCAGACGATGATGAAATGGTCTCCCACGAACTAGAGCAAATGAGGAGTATATCCAATGTAGAGGCGATTTTGGAAACGCGCAGCATGCCTCTCGAAAATCGACCGCGACTTCCCCGCATACCCCTAAGCAAGCGAAATCGGGCTGTCGTGAGGTCTCTTAATCCAATACTGGTAACCTATTTGGAAGCCAGCCGGGACCTTTGTGAGACGGACTCAGTTCTTTTTGGCGCCGCAGTGGCAGCTTGCCGTATTATTGGCGCCAAACTTCCCATGGCTGGACGCGCTACTAAACAAAGTAGCGCCATCCCAGCCTGGAGAAAAAGAATTGAGGACCGTATCGCAAAGGCAAGGGCCCTTATCGGCAGACTGATAAGCTTCAGGTCGGGTAATAATAGACCGAGGGTTGTGCGCACCGTTAGAATGGCGTTTGCTGGGACAAATATCAGTTTGTCCCAGCCGGATATCACGCAAAAACTAACGGAGCGCATAGACGACCTGAAGCAAAAGATCGCTACTTGGGGGAGGTGGATACGCCGATTTACCGAGAGGTCAGGGCAGTTCAACCAGAATCGTCTCTTCCAGAGTGATCAGAAGAGGCTCTACAAATCATTGGAGCGACCAGAGGTATGTGGAGCGGGCTCAGGACCGGATGAGGCTAACACTGTCACATTTTGGCGTGGCCTGTGGTCAGAGCCCGTAAACCACAGCGAGGGCCCTTGGACGGAAGTTGTGGCGAGTCAGTGTGCAAGTATTACGCCCATGGACCCCGTCATCATAACGCCGGATGACGTAGCTGAGGCGATCCGTAGAGCCCCGAACTGGAAAAGTCCGGGACTCGACGGGCTGCATCAGTACTGGCTTAAGGGGTTCATGGTGTGTCACGCTGTGCTCGCCCGTCAGTTTCAAGAGGCTCTCAACCAGAAGTCGCTCCCTAGCCTCTTCACTACTGGGATCACTCATTTGGTTCCTAAAGACCAGGTTACCACAGACCCGAGCAAATACCGCCCCATTACGTGTCCACCCACCATATATAAGACACTGACATCCATTTTGAGCGCGAGAATCACTCGTCACCTGGAGCTAAATCAGGTGATGTCACGCGCTCAAAATGGATTTCGGGGCGGTGGTCGTGGAACTAAGGAACCACTCCTCATTGACGCGGTCATTGGCAAAGTGGTGAAACGCAACCGTCGGAACTTCTCCGCCGCCTGGATAGACTACAGAAAGGCATTCGACTCGGTGCCCTATATATGGCTAAAGAGAGTCATCGAGCTGTACAAGATAGACTGTACAGTGAGAGACTTCCTCGAGCAGTGTATGGGGCAGTGGAGTACGATCCTTTGTCATCTGGGTGAGCGGATGATGGCTGCGGAGAACCACATAAGGATAAGAAGGGGTATCTTCCAGGGCGATTGTCTGAGTCCAATCTGGTTGTGCCTCTCTCTGAACCCTCTCAGTACCTTACTGGGGGGGATCCGGGAGGGGGATTTCAGCTACGGAAAGGAGGGACAAAAGTGACCCACCTTTTCTATATGGATGACCTCAAGTTATTCGCCTCCAGTCGCTCCCATCTTATGGAATTGCTAAAAATCACTTGTGAATTTAGCAATTCCATTGGAATGGAGCTGGGGACGGATAAGTGTGCGGTCCTCCATGTTGAGGGGGGAAGGGTGGCTAACTCTGAGGGCATAGATTTATCTATGCCCGTCAACTTAAGGACCCTTTCCGAGGCTGAAACATACCGATACCTGGGTATGTCACAGAACATCGGTATCGATGAGGCTGGTATGAAACAGTCAGTTTGCGACGTGTTTTATGCACGCTTGACCAAAGTGCTTAATAGCCTTTTGTCCGGTGTGAACAAGACACACGCATATAACGGTTGGGTCATGCCTGTCCTTATGTATACCTTTGGCATACTTAGGTGGACTCAGACTGAACTTAACGCCCTGGATAGAAAAGTCCGCACTACCATGACGTCCCATAGGATGCATCATCCGAGATCGTCGGTAATGAGGCTGTACTTGCCGCGAAAGCGTGGTGGGCGTGGCTTTCTGAGCGCGCTCACTATGCATAATCGTGAAGTGTGCAGCTTCCGTCATTACTTCCTGGCGAGATAGGATGATCCATTCTATAATGACGTCATTTCCAGTGATAAAGGGCTTACCCCTCTATCCTTAGCCAACGAGCAATGGCAGGACCCAGCAGTGCTTAGCATTTCCGACCGGGAGACCGTATGGAAGGAGAAGGAGCTCCACGGGAGGTTCTACAGGGCTCTACATGAGCCCTTCGTAGATACAGTCGCCGCCCTCAACTGGCTACGTTTCGGTGACCTCTTCGGGGAAACCGAGGGTTTTGTCTGTGCAATACAGGATCAGGTTATTAAGACCAACAGCTATCGGAGATACATCCTAAAGGATGGCACCGTCAACGTCTGTCGAGCTTGTCGCCATCCCGGGGAGTCACTTAGGCATGTCATCTCCGGTTGTTCGGCGCTTTCTAACTCTGAGTACTTGCACAGGCACAATCTAGTAGCCAGAATTCTACACCAGGAGCTCGCTCTGAAATACGGTCTCGTGGACCGGAAATTGCCGTATTACAAGTACTTTCCGGAAGCCGTGCTCGAAAATGACCGCGCCAGGCTCTACTAGGACCGGGCCATCATCACAGACAGGACTATTCTTGCGAATAAGCCTGATATTGTGCTGATGGACCGGGCACAGTCAAGGATATTTTTGGTCGACATTACCATTCCGTATGACGAGAACCTCGTGAAATCCGAAACAGATAAGCAAACAAAATATCTGGACCTGGCTCACGAGGTGACCGACATGTGAGGTGGTCGGCCGACCGAAATTATTCCTGTAGTCGTCTCTGCGAATGGGCTAATCCCAGTCAGCCTCTCGGGTCATCTGAGGCGACTGGGACTCCGTGACGGACCGCTCCGGGCTCAAATGCAGAAAGCAGTGGTCCTCGATACCGCCCGCATCGTCCGTCGGTTTCTTTCCCTTTCCTCCTAACCCTCGGCCGTTTAGTCTCCCCTGCCGACGGCTTCCATCTTTATTTATTTGTGTATTTTTTGTATTTATTTTATTTTATTGATATTTATGTATATTTATCTTTTCATTTTAATTTATAAATATATATTTATAGAAACCAACCAGATGAGAAAACTATACAGATACCCCATTATAATAATAATAATAGTCTTTATTTGCATAAAACATGGTAATTATACAGATGTTTCAGAGTTTTATTATGCCCACATGTTTTGCTATTTTAATATAATATAGCATGCAAATTACATTTAAATCAAGATAACCTATATAGTATTAAAATTAACAAATTAAACATGTTTATTTAAATTATAATTATGTTTTACAATGTCGAAATCTAGTTTAAAATGTCAGAAATTCATTAATGTCATAAATATTTTTGTCAATTAACCAATGGTACAATCTTTTTTTAAATACGTTCATATTATGTAGTGTTTTAATTTCATCAGGTATTTTGTTGTATATACGTACACACATTGATAAAAAGCATTTACTATATTTAGCTGACTTCGGAACTTCACTTAGAACTAATCTATTTGGATTTCTTTTAAGCCTAGGATTAATATCAGATGACTTTTTAAATAAATATGTATGCTGTTTTACAAATTTACCTATCTCAAAAATATATAACGAGGGCATAGTTAGTAAAGACAGATTTTTGAATATTGGCTTATAGGATTCTCTAGTTGGGATACCACATATCGTCCTTATACACTTCTTTTATGCGATTAATGCCCTACGCCAATCTATGCTATTACCCCACATTGTTATACCATATCGAAGTATAGATTCAATATACGCCGGATAGCATAATAGGGCCGTTTTTCTATTAGTTACCTTTTTTATGGTACATAGTGCATACACAAAACGATTAACTCTTTGACATAGGTCGTCTATATGTATTTTCCAGTCTAAATTTCGATCTATAATTACACCAAGAAATTTAATTTGTTCTATTTCCTTAATTTTATTGATATTTTGACTAGAATTAGTTTTTATTTTATTAAAATGTATGTAATTTGATTTATCTAGGTTTATTTTCATATTGTTTGTATGCAGTCAATTAGTTATATTATCGATTGTGTCATTTATTTCCTTTTCATGATTATGTAATGAATTATTGTTTTTTTGAGATTAAATAAATATCTCCACTTGTGATTTGTCGCCAGGTTATATCATTTATGTATAAAACAAATAATACCGGCCCTAAAACACTACCTTGAGGAACACCGTATTTTTTTCTCTGTACATAGATGAGAAGTATAATATTTCATTTTTTACCATTTTCTCACTCAAAATGTCAGGTGTCGGAAACGATGCTACCACACTCAGTCTTCAGCTTTGACAGTTGGCTCTTTCTGGCAGACAGATCTCTGGCAAAGACTTTGGAGCCCTGGTTTCGCTCGATCGCTTCTTTAATACGAGCAGTATTAAAGTTGCGTAAGTCTCGCCGCATGCATTTGGAGATCTGTCTGTTCAGTTGCCTGTATGTTGTCAAATCTTTTGACGATTGCAGCCTCATCTCCTGTCTAACAGCCATGAGATTAAGAGTGTGATCGGAGAGTTTTTGTGTTCTTCTGCGGCGGGTCTTGCAGAACTTAGCTCCGACCGCACGGACAGTTTCCACGAGCTTGTCATTCATATCGTCTACTGCATTGCAATATTCTAAGCACTGAAAGCGGTTACGTAACTCGAGCTGAAAGGTTTCGGGATTCTGGATTAGAGCACGAGGGGGACGGAGCGTTGACTTCATTAGACGAGACCTCTCCAACTTAACGTTTAGGTTCAGTGTGCCTCTAACTATTCGGTGATCGCTGCTGGTTTTCACCCTTGTGATCACTGACAGACATCACTGAACAGTTGGCTACTGGTCGTCATAATGAAGTTAATCTCATTTTTTGTCGAACCGTCGGGGCTCGACCAGGTCAACTTCCTGTGGCCCCACAGGAAGTTGACCTGGATGGACCCCTTCTGGAAGAACGAGTTCATCATAAAGAGTCCCTCTTTCTCCATAAAGTCAGCCAGCTGCTGGCCCCTACGGTTCCGTTGCTCTACTCCAAATTTCCCTAACTTCAGCACACCGCCTTCTCTTGTGCCTAGTTTTGCGTTGAAGTCTCCCATCAACACCGTGTAGTGGGTTTTGGAGGAATGCATGGCTCTAGATATATCCTCATGCATTTCCTCCACCTCCTATTATTATATCCTATATATTCGATACAACGAATCACCAATATGGCGTCGATTTATGAGCAGCCAACCAGGCAAAAACCCGGGAAAACCACCACCCGACCACAACCCCCCCCCCGCACCATCCCCCCCCCCCCCCCCCACCACCCCCCCCCGCCCCGAGAAACCCACGGGGACGTCATTTGCAATGGCCAGTGTACTAGGTTGTATTTCGGAACATACCCTTCATGTTTTTTTACTTATAATTTATTATTTTCAAGAAACAGTTGCAACTTCACGTAAACAAACACAAACTGTCAAAGTATTAAAAACATCAAAGATGCTATAATAACCACAACTTTGATAGACAGCTACTAATATTAAGAATACTAACTGAATATGTTATCCTAAATTTGGTTAGTTTATCTCACGACGCGAAAGTGCTACCAACATAAAGGAACGAACGAACGCCATTTACAGTGAGCAAACGCGAATCGATAGATTAGTTTCGATTGTAACTCACACTCGCCCCTCTTCGCTTGTCGATAGCGATGACATTAACTCGATTAACACGATGGTGAAATCATTCGATTAATTTTGTGGAACTCGCACTAGGCACACAGATGCTAAACCACTTGCACATCTACGCGCAATAAAATATTTCTCCATTTTTTAATGTTTCTTTTTGTCAAAAATTACAAAATTACGTAGCACGAAAATTTTCTCATTAAAAATGAAATGAAAATTTTTACATTA